TAAGAGACGGATTCTATGGGGCAAAAAGGAGACTGAAAAGACGTGGATGAAGAGGATTGCAGACTAAAAGGCCAGACTCTGATCAGGAGTCCCAAGAGTTGGAAGAAAAGCCTGCAGGGAAGGTGAACAGGTCTCACTAAATCCGCTGAAAAGGGCACATCTAAACTAGGTTTAAATAAGCAAGCAATAAATTGTTATACTGTAAGTGTGATGCTAGGATATAGAATAGGTGATGCACCAGGACAGGAGAGATATCACAATTGTTTTGCAGACATTCCGTCAACGAAACGTCTGAGAATGTAGTAAATTCACGGGCAGACTCCAAAAAATATCATGGATACTATGGACTCTAGATAAGGTGCTACCTCTAGGCCACTGACAGTATGACCGAATTTCGAAAACATGGTAAAACAAATTATATATAACGAAAGGAGACCGCGACCATACCACATTATGGTCTTCATTAATATGATATTGTCGCTATTTATTCTCCACTCGTAATAGCATTACTGTTTAAAGGATGTTAGCATTAGATAACCTGCGCGATTTACCTCACATTCAGCAAAGTCGTCAATGCGTAAAGATTCAGACCCCACTGTTAAACACATTGCAGACATGCAAAGATCGACAGGAAGACTCATATGCTCGCAGAGGAAGTCGGAATCGGAAGGAATAGTGGCCCTCGGCACAAAAGTAGGATCCCGAGTGGTGGCTGCGCTGATAAGAGAGTTGTCAAATCGGGCCTTAGGGCTGTAGCTGCTGATAGAAGCTTCAACACAAGTTCGACCATAATGTTGGCGATTAGGAAAATGGGAAACCTGGTCAAAAAACGAAGATGAACCAATCGTATAGGTAATATACGATGAAGAGCCAGCAAGAACAATTTATCAGTAAAAAAGAAGTCAAAATTTAATTGAATTTTCATTGGAAAATTAACAAAAGCCTAATAAGAAACCCGTAATTCATTTAAGATTATCAAATTACAGCAAAGGACGTAATTTATTTCTTGTTTGTTGCTGTACTATATATAGAAAGCATAAAAATTGAATTGAATAATGAAATTCAGTAAGTTGATAACTCATTTGTAATGAGGTTAACTTTACCAAGAAAGCACTCTTTGAAAAGGTAAATATCATTTAAGTTCTCTAAAGATAAACAAGAATAAAAATCTTGAGCAAAAGTGATTCAAATACTCAATAGCTAAAAAGTAGAGAAAATTTTAGTGAAAAATATTAAATATACTCGAATACTCACTTCTTCGGCAGACTTTCGAGGGGAAAAGTAGGCGGACATGTGCGTGTTCGGACTCAAGTCTCGGGGAATAGCGCCAGACGGAGCGAGACAAGATGTATCAGATGAAAAAAAAGCAGGGTCATACAAATTAGAGGCTTCCAAATCTACTGATGGTGATTGTGGTGGTGCGAGTGGTTGATTGAGAAGGGGTGAGCGCTGTGAGGCTTCAGACGAAGGCGGCCTTAGATCAGACTCATATGAAGACGTCGATAATTGGTTTACACAGGCAGCAATTGGGCACGTAAGATGATCAGATGGAGAACTGGATGCGAGTTGGAATTGAGGTGGAAGCCGAAGAGGCGAGATGTCCAGTTTACGAGTTCCACGCCGAGCCTTCAGTGGTACCGGGCTGTTTGTGGCAGGCCTACGTGCAGGAGTAGCGGACCACCTTAGTGCTTGCCGATGTTCATGATACCAATCAAAGTGTAGAGAAAGAAGGTGACGACGCAGAGAGCTTGCATCAGTGTATGCCCGATTGTTAGGACATATAGGACAGGTAAACGGTCGTACACGCTGTCGATCAAGCAAAATCTCGGTCTCGAAAGCTAAAATCGTGCAATATAGCAAGAATAAAAAGAGAACTTGGACAACAGCCCGTAACTTGGAGAAGAAATGGACGATAATAATTCGATCAAATTTACGATAATCTCTAGAGCTTAAAATGGAATAGTTATAATATAAGTTTAATATAAATATATGAAATTAGCGAAAATAGCTGGCACATTTTATCGAATATTCCGATGAGCATAAAGCATGAAATGCATCCCTCCCGAGTTATGTAAATTAATGGGAAGATAAAATTCTGAAAAGCTTACTGATATATTTTATCATGATTCTATGCAGAAATTACAGGGAGCAAATAGTTAAGAGGAACAAGTTATTTAGGTATTTAGATATTAAGTTTAGGCTGAGGCAGGATATGGGTATTATTCTCCCTCTTGAGGATTTTCGAAAATTGCAAAAGATGAAAGACAAAATATCGAAAAGGAGCTTGGGCTTGATAGATAAGAAAATTAGAGAAGCCATATAAGGGGTTTATAGGCAGCCCAAGGTCAAACAACCTGATGCAAAATGAAAGGTTTCTAGGATAAATCCTACACATGAAATAAAAAATGAAAATAAAGTAAAAAATTAAACTTATGTCCTTCTCGACTGCGAAACCAGAGCTATCTTATAGAAAGGATAAAATTCTCAACTTAAGAGTGAAATGAAGCATATTTTAGTGGTCCCAAATCCGTCTGAGAGCAATCCGGAAGAATCAAAACAAGAGATTGGAAAAAAGATTATCGAAAAAAAAAATTTTCATTTAAAGCCTGCGAGTAGGAGTGGTATAAAGAGAATCAGTAGAACATTGATAAGAGACCGAGTAGTTCCAAAAGCAGACAAAAGAGGCTCACAGCAGTGATGGGTAAAGAGCAAAGACAAAAATATCATATTTGAAGAGAAGCTAAGTTTCGAAGAATTCCTTAATAGATTGATATTAGCGGAACTTCCAGTTCGTTTTAAAAGGCGGGTAGTAGGAATTAGTAAAGAGCCCTCACCGGAGACCGAAGGGGGGTTGCTTTGAAGTTGTGATTACTGGATTTTGCGAAGATCTCGGCTCGCGGTATGAATCTGTGTCAAACTTTCGTCTGTCCTTATACCAAAATCGTCAGTCGGAAGCATACATCCAGCAAAAATTCACCAAAACTCTGAGCAAAGGAAGGTGGCCAATTGAAATTTTATTTACTTCGTATTCTCACCTTAACGAGGCATCATGAATTTAGTTGGATTCTTCATGCTTATTATACAATATTGTAGATAATGAGGAAGGAGATAATGTGGTCACAGCCGCCCCATAACATAAATGCACTGGCGTATGATTATGTAATTTTGAAGTTTGTTCTAGGTTTGTGGATGTATATGAACTATATGTATGCAACACTCACAAGTCATCAAAGGTGTGAAGAACAAGGTGCCATATTGTTACGCAATCTTCTTTCCATAGGTCTTATCAGTCTCCCTCTTGCCTCGTTGGATCCGACGGCTCTCTGCCTGGGTGAAGTATTTTACTCGACCTCTGTCAATCAGTATTACCCTAGGCGTTATTTTCCACACTCTATCTCTGGGAGACTAACTTGAGGCTAAAGCCCTTGAGTAATTATCATGGTCAAGCCTTTGCTTCATGGGCCACCTCTATGGTAAAACAGGTACACTGTCAGCCAACAAGCTCCAGTTTCCACCATGTCTACCCTGTATCCATCCATAATACCAAATCTATGACTTTCTATGCCTTAGTCTCTTGTCTGCCAACCCATAAATGTAGTTGTTCTACATTGAACAAAATCAAAGCAAATAGGAAGACAACATTTGTGGGTTAGCACACAAGAGACTAGGGCATAGGGAATAATAGACTTGCTACTACGTATAAAAACAAGATAGACGCGGTGGAGACTGGAGCTAGTTGGCTGACGGTAGACCTGTTTATCATAGAGGTGGTCCATAAGGTTAAGACTCGACCATGAGAATTAGTCGAAGGATTTAGCCTCAAGTTAGTCTTCCAGAGGCAGTGTGGAAAATATCGCCTCAAGTAGCACATATATGGTGGTAGAGGTAGAGTGAAATACTTGAACCAGGAAGATAGGCGTCGGATAACATGGAGCAAGAGGGAGACTCTGATAAGACCTATGGAAGGAAGACTGCGTAATAATAGGACAGACTGATCAATATTCCTAGTACAAGGGTGAAGGGGATGATAAAGCCGATGTGGAGCGTGGATAGTTCTCGTGAAATCTGCTTAAAATGGCATACCATAACAGATTTATATGAGCAACTAAAAATTTTGATAGTGAAGGAGTGATACGAGGATATAGGGTTGGTGATTAGCCCAGGGCAAGAGGAGATATACCACAATTTTTAAGCAGACAATTAATCAAAGGAGCGGCTTCACTTATTTCTATGCCGAATTGTATTGTGGTGCTAAGACTGGCAATGCTAACTAACGATGCCGGCAAAACGTCTGAGAATGTACCACGTCCACGGTCCGATTGTGGAAATTA